AAGTATAGCAAGTCCTTTTACAAATAACCACATCCACGAAATATAGAAATAGACTTCGATGCTGTAACTTCTTCTAGACCGTTACATATAGCCATCTCAGTCAATTCACGTGCGTAATTCATATGACTATGCAAATAGTCTCATTACTTTAAAACATACTTCACATGTATTGAAGTCTGTGTGATATGTAGAGGTTGATATGATAAATCTTTATGACGGTGTCCCAAAATAAATATAAGGGTATTTTCGGTGAAAGCCACAATTGTTCATGACAACAGTGTCCCCGGGACGTAAGCAATATTTTCCAAATCAATCTAGATCATGTAAAGCATTAGAAAAAAGTCAACGAGATAAAATACATTTGAAGGTCCACCTAAAATATTGAAATATTAAATTCCAAATGGCCCATGCATGAAGGAGGTTTTCCGTGTGGGTGGCATTGGAAGCATATGTGTGTACCTATATAGCCTTTTCCCCTACTAGATGAAAACTCCATATCGATAAAAAGAATATGTTAGTGGTCCGTTTATTTGGCAATCGCCAATGGCAGTCAGCAGGGTTTAAGAACATTTGTTATTCGACTTGTTAGTCAAATGCGTTTTGTAAAAATATACTTTTTCACTTTTTTGGTCTTTTTGGAAAATGTTGTTCGTGCTGTATTTAGACCCCTCTAACAAGAAATTTGTTTTGCATGCACACGTATAAAAATTGCGGTTTTTATCCAACGCAATCATAGGTTTGAACGTTGTTTTCAATTTAGACTTGTTTATATATGTATATATATATATAGGTGGCACATTCTTCTCAGACATTATCACGGTTTTTCAATTCATGACATCTTCCTGAACATGATGAAATATTTGCCACTAGACATTAAGAAACCAATAATCAATCAATCAATCAATTAATGACAAAATAGATCAATTTCCCCAAGAAAGTTAAAAAAAATCATCACCAAGTTGCCTTAATTTCCTTTCACAATGTTTCATAGTACACACTTTTTTGTGTGCAAAGTAATTGCATGGATGATAAATTATCACAATTCTAAGATAGCGTTGTACTCTAATCAAGTATATAAAACCATATGTGTTACTCTTTATTTAAATGAAAGACAGTTGCAATTGTCAAAAACATTTTTAGATCCAAAGATTTTCATAGCAGGATATTTAAAAATCAGTGTGAAAACTAATTACAAACTACTATTATAGTATTTAATTTAATTTAATTTAATTTATTTCAAAATAGCCAGTGGCAATACAATGAAATCTTACCCCTGTGGCCATTCATGCGTAGTTACTTAGTACACGGAAAAAGTATGTACTATGAAAATTAGAAGGGTAATTCAAGCAATTTGATTGGACGAGAAGTTGTAAGTATGTGCTAAAATAAATTAAGCAACTTTCATAATGTATTAACATCAGCAGAGCAACGCCACAGTATAGTAAATCAAATTATCGACCCGGTCTAAAGGCATTTGGGCTATTAGCCGCAACCTGGTGTTAGTTGCATTGGTTCCACTTAAAAATAGTTATATGAAAGAATGAGTTTTCACAGTTTGTGTTAATAATCTTGAGGCACACGTATGTTTGTTGGTTTATTTTGAATGAGATTGCTCACTTTAAAGTCCTGTAATGTAATTGTTGTTCTAATTCGCCTTTTGATTTTGATTTCGGTGAGGTAGTGTGATAGATCAATTGCTGGAACCAACCCCCAGAATTTGTGCAGAGGATCGTTAGCCTAAGTTCTTTCCTCCGATATTGGAGTGTCGGGAGTTAAAGGTTACTCAGTAGTCGTCGTCGGATAGTACCCTTCCTACATTGAGCGGTAATTTCTGATGATGAAACGAGCAGTTCCATACTCGATTGTTGATCTCGCACGTGAAATGGCAAACAGATACATATCTTAAGTAGAATGTATTCTATATTAAGACAAACCTTACGAAAGGTGCATGTTTTGATGCACGTAAGCTGTTAAGAATTTTCGTTCCGAAACCACCTACATGTATTTGCAATTCCCCTTTTGTACAATAAACTTTTGATGCATTTACGAAGCCAACATTATTGTCAGGTCCTGCACAATACAGAATAATTGTTCCTCTTTGTTGTGTAGGCAGAAACCCCACTTTTTTTTACCGAAGTGTTGTTTCTCTTTAAAAAAATATCATATTTGAACGAAGTTGTTAATTTGAAAGAGTGAACTTCAGCACAAGCGTATTAGGATAGATTTATATAAAAATAAGGCGATGTGGTATGATTGCCAATGAGACAACTATCCATGCAAGCAATTATAGGCAACCGTACGGCCTTCAACAGATCTTCTCATTCAAAGAAGTGTCATTGTTAATTAGACATCTACTCGCCCGAGACAAAGGGAAAAGAATCCCACGAGAGACAATGGGACAAAAACAGATGGACACAATACATTTTCTCGAAATAAGCATCAAACCACACTATTTATTAGAATTGTAAGACCATCCGTTACAATGCAACTTCAATAGAATATGATGGCATTTACTAGACTTAAGTGCGCTCTCAATATGATAGTGACGATACCTAACTTGAATCTGATTTTGAAATGCGATGGTTTTTCGGCTATCGGTACAATTTGTCATTCAGGAAATCGATCGTTTATTTGTCCTCATAAATCGAGGACGTGAAATCAGGTATCATCAAACGTATAGAGTCCTCATTCCTTTTATGTCAATCATACCGGCGAGTTTCTATTTATAAATTTATTGTATCACGTTGTGGTGAAAGGTTAAATTTGTGCAAAATAAAAAAAAAAGGGATGCTTTCATACAACGCATCACTATTCTTATTACCCTTTGGCTGACTTTTATGAATTATATGGTCACACATCAAAACTCATAGAAAAACTTCTGTGATGGTTACACATCGTGCTTTGAAGTAAATTAGTAAACAAACTGAGGAATGTACTTCAGCAATATTTGTTTGTCAAATTCTTTTTTTTTACGAGGAAAAATGACTTACAAGTGTCAAAAAAATGATAAAGTCATACACACTTGAACGCCACCTGTCGGATAGAAAGGTCACAAAATCTTATTTAAAATGAAACAAGATTGATGACGACCAAAAGGTTATAACTCAAATTGTATTGACCTTACATTGTTTTTCTCAAGAAGACCATTGAAACAGTTTTTAAATTCATTTATATTGAGACTTTTATATATTTGGACGGACGAAATACATAGTGCTTTTTTTCATATTCTAGCACTGGGTCGATACCACTACTGGTGGACTGTTAGTCCCCGAGGGTATCATTTGCTCAGTAGTCAGTGCTTCGGTACTGATATGATTTATAAGATACTTAAAAAAAATTCCATTGACGAAGAAATTCTCAAGCAACTAAGGTTCCAACTTCCTCAGGCAAAATTTAACTAAGATGATTTGGCTTTTCTTTTTATGTACCTTTGGTCATAAAGCTGCTAACGTTTCTACGTATTGATACACGAGGTCATCCCGTGCTTTCAAAGGTTAGGTTTGAACGTTCCTGTTGAAGGTAAATCCAGAAAAGTGCGGTGTCATCTGCTCAGTAATTGATGTTGCGGAATTGACATGATTTTAACATACTCAAGTTTTCTGGCATTATTCTTAATATTAACGAGACACGCATTTTTTCATAGAATATTTTTCTTTATGCATGAATAAGTATCACTAGGACCAAATTTGAGTAAATCGTTGTCTTACAAGATAAATTATTTCGTTTTAAATTTTGTCAATAATCCTTAAAGAATTAACTGTATTGATGATGCTCTTTCACTGAATAGTTTACATATTTGGGAATCTGGTGATCGCATATATCCAACTGAACTTAAAATAAAGGGTACCAGACATGCATTTGTTCCGCTTAATACAATGACTTGCACATAATATCGAGAGTTAGAGCCAATTTACAAATCAAATTTACGTCAAACGAGATGACTTTGATTTTCACATTGTAAGCTTTCCATATTCATGCTGTAACCTTCTAGCAACTCGTGTTGATAAAATCTTCTAGAACATGCGTTTCCTATCTATACTTTTAAATGAGAAGACCTCATTTTGTGTGTCGCTTCTCTTCCTTCCACATTGAATCAATCATCATGCTGTTATGTCCTATAGGTACCATGCATAGTCGCATTTGTCATCCTCGCTTATAAATATTTCGTTTGGTTTTTTTTGGGAGAAAAACGAAAATAAAGACGTCCGGATATTGTTTCCGTCATCGGACTGACTTTTAAGCCATAGATAAGACTTCCGTTTAGGACTTAAACTTACACATTATTTTCATAGGTACAAGGGGACAGGACAATTATTTTCGCGTTTTTCTGTATACTATGAACAAACATACATGTATACTATATAAATACAGTGTATTTGCTATTTGCTATCAATTCCAAGTTTAATTCCATGGATTGATAATAAATACCAAAATAAACTGTATTTATATAGTATATGTTATTATGTATGTTCATAGTGTACAGAAAAAAAAACGCTAATATAATTGAAATTAACAGAAAACAACAAAAAAATAACGGACTTTGGAAAAAAGGGGGAGGGCTAAAAAAATTGTACTGTCCCCATGTACCTTTGACTTTGATAACTTTCCTGAAATACTCCAGTCATAAAATCTTTACAAAAATTCATCCCACAACAGTTTACATACCATCAACAACGCTCTCCTATCCTTGTATTTTGCTACCGTGTATACGTAATGCGATTTATCACCAATTTTTTAGTTGTCATGAGCACCTGAGTTCACCACCAGTTTTGTAGGGGTTCGTGTTGCTCAATCTTCAGTTCTATTTGTAGCGTAGTTTGTCTTTTTTTATCTGGTTAAGGTGTAGACTTTCATTTTTCGATTATGATTTTGATCGTCCCCTATGTATCTTCTTACTATTTTGTGGGTAAAAAGTCAATACACGGAAAAAATATCGTTAAAAAATCCTGATAATAAAATTGATACTTGACCATGCGGAAACAAATATATTGTTACGAATGTACGTGAAAATAACTTTTATTGTGTTTGTTAAGTACAATAACCACATGATAGCATATTTACTTTATGAGTAATTTCTAGGTAAGTATAAACAGATAAAAGATTGCACTATTTGTTTTTTTTAAAGATATATTGTCATTGAATACCCCATAAATCAAAAGTGTACTATATGATATGAGGGCTGACACGAATAATTTCAGGAGAAGAACCCTGAGGTGAACATAAAAGCAACGATCCTTCGGAATTTTACTTTTTTTTCATTTTTTTTCATTCAAATGACAAAGGCTTTCAAATGTCACCTTTCGAACATTGAGTAGTAAGAATTTCTGACCTATGGGAAATTATAACTGAAGAAAACACTCGTATGGCAATTTAAATGCATAATATTAAGACACTTTTAAAATCCAAAATGACGTTCAAACATAATAGACCGAAGGAAAAAGCTTCAAACGACTATGCATGTTTAACCGTCCGTTAATTATGTGAAACTTGATAAGACCTTGCTGACCTATGGGAAATTATAACTGAAGAAAACACTCATACGGCAATTCAAATACACTTTTAAAATCCAAAATGACGTTCAAATATAACAGACCGAAGGAAAAAGCTTTAAATGACTATGCATGTTTAACTGTCCGTTAACTATGAATGGAACTTGATGAAAAGCTAGACACAATATTTTTTTAAACACAAAATATGCAATAACGTTTTAATTTAATTTTATCAGAAACATTTAAATAGTTCTTAACACAACATATTGATTTTGATCTATTATATGGTGTACGGTGTAAAGGAGAGGAACTTGATTTTTTATGTCATAACGTTCAAATTTTCCTTCACAGCTCACTGTCTTTTAGTTTCAATATTCCCCTTTTTCCAGCTTATAATAAGCGCTCGTGAATCTAATACTGTGGTTATGTTATAATTTGGAAGGAAACAATGCCATATTTGAGGTCAATTCTAATGCTGTTGATAGTGTAGTTTTTCATACTGATAAGTGTCGTGGCAATTCGGCTTCCAATGGTGCAAGTATTATCTTGTTCTTCGAATCCTTGTTAGAATCCAAGATTTATATCTCAAAACGATTGGAGTATGTTCTGCAGTATGATTATGCCAAACTCTGTCGAACATTTTGGACGAGCAAAATTACACTATGCATTTAAACAGTTGTAGCATCTAAACATTCTCGAAAAGTATATTACCAAGTTACTCCTAAAAATAAAATAAGACCTGGTTTAGATATTCAAAAATCAAATAAGACGTAGAGTTAAATATTCAAATACCTAACTTTTTTTTTCTATAGATGTGGTTTTTGTCTGTCTGTTATATCTGTGTTTTGTTTATGCTTTTGACATAAATCATGCCGTTAGCTTTCTCAGTTCTCGTTAGAATTGTTATACATTTTGTCATGACGAGGCCTTTGATAGATGACTATACTTTATGTGTTTTGCTCATTTTTGAAGGCCGTTTGATGACCCATAGTTGCTTACTTCTATATCATTTGGGTTGGGTCAAACTCCGTATTTTATAAAGGCAATGTCTATTTTCAGAAAGCAATCGCGAAGAAATGAAACGTAAATAATTAATCTGTTTGATTCATGTATAATGCATCGCATTGCAATACTTCATTTTATCAGGTCATTGATAATAGTTAAAATAACTATGTAAGACCCAAATACATTTAGATTAGACTCGTGACTAGCATTATGTAGACTTCCTGATGTATGTTTTCTTTATAATATATGCACATTGTTATGCATACTTATTAATTAAAATGAAACATTAGGAAGGTGCAAGTTTGAAATGCTTATCTTACACACTTTACAGTCATGAGTGCTAAAACAAAGAAAGTTTATAAATGATGAAGAAATGCATATATAATACATACATTTATAGAATGAATATGAGACGACGGAGCACAGAAGCAACACATTCATTTTTCAAATTGTGTTGACTTTATGTAACCATGGTGTATAGCGACAAAAACAAAGCTCAAAAGAACTTTTGCTGTTTGTGTTTTAAAACTACTCAAGGTCTATATCATCTGCAAAAATAAGAAAAGTATGGATTACTGATAGTAGATATATGAAAAAGGTGACAGTCGGTCTTTAAAGACTTTTCTACAAAAATGATTGTGGAAATCTATATAAAAGCTGGCCATAATCTCCTATAGAATTGAATATGCAATTAAAGAAGCACCATTGACGCCATAGTATTTAGATTACCGAAGAACTTGCGAAAATGAATTTGAATTTTGTCAAAGATTATGTTTATCTATTCCGGTTAACAATCTATGAATCTTGTTGGCATTTATGGCTCAAAACAGCTGATCATGTTTACCTATCTGGTTCATCTTGTTCTCTACGTCAATTGACTGCGATTGGAGATTATTTTCGTCTATATCCAACAGACAGTTACCTAAAAGAGAAAAGCGAAAAATACCAAAGGAACATTCAAACTCATAAGTCGAAAATATAATGACAACGCCATGGCAAAAAAAAAAAGAATGAAAGACAAACAACAGCATACAAAACACAACATGGAAAACTAAAGACTGAGTAATACGTACCACACTAAAAACCGGGGGATGATCTCGGGTGCTCCGGAAGGGTAAGCAGATCCTGCTCCACTTGTGGCACCCGTCGTGTTGCTCATGTAAATACCAACCAGGCGATAAGTCTAATTCGGTAGGCCACATTCGGGCAAAAGGAGGGCTGTATTGTGGTTACGACGATTGGAACATATCTGTGAATCAATCGCAGTTGAAGTTACTCCCATTAAGCATCCTAAAGAGCAAACGTCTTATTTGCTACTTAATATGACAATGGAACTATCAATAGGAAATAGTATATGAAACAATCACACAATGGTTACTTATAAATAGGGTAATACCGTGATATATGTCCGCTGAGAATTGATATTGACAGAAACATTGAGACGACCCAGAATTCAAACGAACAACGGAAAATACTAACATAAATGGAAGGCAATACTTAGATAAAATCATCATAGGTACCAGGTTTAAAATTTTGAACGCCAGACGCACGGTCCGACAGACTCAGCAGAGACACTCGAATAAAAAAAATTAAAAAAGACCAATAAAACTGACTTATTCAGGTGAACATTTTGTAACATTAAAAAAATACTAAAAACTTGGTTTAATGTATTGCATAAGGGGTTGAAACCTTCGATAAATACAGATAGCAAAATGTTATAAAAAGTAAAATAACAAAAAAACCGAACTCCAAGGAAAATTCAAAACAGAAAGTCTCTTATAAAATATATTGTATATTTCTATTTAAAGTATGTAATAAATGATAACACGGAGTACATACTAACTTAAATAAGCCTTAAGCAATTCCTTATGAAGAGGTTGCCAACATACCTGGCACACTGGTGATATTGTAGAAAATCACCAAAATATTTCTGTATGTGAAATCACAGGTTGAGTGGACACAGCCGTTTGCTAGACGGTTCTACATGATGATGAATTATAAGAATTTTATTTGCCACTATAATATAATAAACCAATTGGCCACATTACTAATGGGTCTTGTCATTACATGGTTTTGACCCTGCCCGGTATTCAAATTGTCATTTGGCTTATAGCGCGGAACAGATAACAAAATCACATAAAATATCGAATGCTACGGAATTGCACCAATATGTCCTACACTTTGTGTGAATATGAGCATGGACAAAAACAAGGTAAAAAAAAGTTTCCATATGAGAGATGCAGCCAAGCTCCCTGCAGATATAATCGATTATTCCCATTTTAAAATGGGAGTGATCTATAATAACTGTTAAACAATGAGACAACGGAAATAATAAAAGAGCTTGACCCAATATATCTTTCAACAATATCAATATAGAATTTTTTTTTAACCCAAAACTAAACTTACCAGAAATCATGATTATGTTTTAAAAATGAGTGTTAATCCTAATATCTACTTCTCAAGTCTCATAAAACGTGATTTCTAGTCAATTGCATTGTATGAAATGACAGTTTAACAATAGAGGAAGGATCTTTACATGTGCTGTGTGTCACGTATACCACTTACTTAGGTGAAGGTGACAAATTTGCTATACACTGCTGTTTAAGTTACAAAATTGCATGAGAAATCATTGCTTGTTGAAATAATCACTTATGCAAGTATGCAAATTAAACTGTGAGATATGTACGAGAAGTGTCCTCTATTTTGACAGACTACAATATAAATACAGCTGTACATCTTAGAACCCAGGGTTACTTCAAGTTGAAACCCCAAGGGTTAAATGGGGTAACCTATTCTCTCCCGCGCAGAAGTAAAACCCATGACTTGCCGAAATTGAGATGTTAAATCCGATGCCTAGTGTAGGTGAATACCAAGCTCTCTGCAATTAAGAACACTTCCATTATCTCGCAGGTAACCTGTTGCAAAGCGAACATTCTATCTCCTATGCAACACTCCCTTATGTTCCTTTTCCAGTGGCAGCCTAAATTTCCCTTCCTTCATCTTGATCGTCCCACTTTTCAGAACATACCAAAGGAATTTATCATAAATTTGTTCTAGTCCTGAATATGCAGGACATATTCATTACAGGACATTTAACATACAGTAATCAATCAATCATATTTCAAATTGAAAATTGGACAACATACTTGTTCATAAGAATGAATCTAAGAATCGCTACTGTAGTTGTCAAGTGACACACATTCGCCGGTGTGACTTTTAATGTCTCTTAGCCCTTCGGAGTTCAGAATAACCTATGTAATAACATGTATTTAAAAAAGAACTAGTTTAAAAGAAAGAAGATGTGGTATGATTGGCAATGAGACAACCATCCACCAGAGTCAAGAATTTAACCAGGTTATTAAGATTCATATTGCTGAATTAATCAAGGCATTACTACAAAGACTGAGTGACGTTGGATAATCAGCTTATTCTCCTCAACGAATCACATAAAATGGCTATGTATGTAAACAGCTGCTTATATTAACTGGAAGTAAAAAAGCATAAACAATAACTTGACCATGATACTGAAATGAATTTTCGTCCTGCATATGGCTTATAAAATACATAAGTCGCTGTTTACTTAACAGACAAAAGGTTCATAACAGGGATGCCTAATTTTTCTGTCAATTTTGTCAGTAATAAAAACATGTGTTTAGTATATGTTAATATATTTTGGCGGTAATTTCTAGCTTTAATGTCTGAACTTTTTATGTATGAAAATAATAGCCGGCAATCAAAATATGTCAGTCAGTACACCATATTATATGTCAGTCAGTACACCATATTCAACTATATACGCAAAACATAAAGACTTGTTTCCTTATATTAATTGCACATGTATCATGCATCCTTATTTTAGTATCTATTCATAGTCACTCACTTAAACCTAGAATCGGTGCTTTTTCTGTTCTGTATTAAACGTCGTAGTAAGACATTACATTCAGAGCAAGAGCTCACAGCTCAGTGCAAGTTCAGGACGACCAAAGCATTCATTTAAGTGGAAGCATGTGCTAGAAATCAATAACGCTATTCTTTTGTATTGAAGTATAGGGATACAGGCTATAACGGGCAAACAAATCTTACAATTACTCTCAAATTTACCCGACAATTTCATTGTAAAATAGAGAAACAATAAAAACATTTAGATAACCAAAGGGCACATCACCATGATCAAGAGGTTTATTTTGCAGGACATAATGTACGAATATGTCAAATAATTTAGGTAGACTGCATACGATGTCGATAAACGAACAAGAAAAGTAAAATAGTTCAAAGAGACAACTCCTGCAAGGTGCAGTTTCTAAGGATTCTACACAACTCAATGTTGTTGAAAAAAGTATATTGTGTCTTGGATTCATAGATAACAACCCAAACATTTAGATAATCAAGATTTTATTTGTGTAGGACATAATGTATGAATAGGGCAAATAATTCGAGAAAACTGCATACAATATCGATAAACAACGTACATGCGGTTCGAACATTACTAATGTTTCGGTAAATACATTGTACTACTATTCATTAGTCAGTTTATATATATCACGATAATACCCTCTTCAAAAGTAAAAAAATATGTAGTTTTAACATGTATTTGTTGTTTTGATTGTGTTATATTGGGAGTGCATCTGTTGAGCTCAGTTTTCAATTTTGTTTATTTTGTATTACTCCTCTGGCTCGTTTATTTTGAACTCTCCTTCTTTGAGGTTTCTTTCATCTAGATACATTAAAAAATTACCTTCGGTTATGTAAAAGTGTAAGTTGAAAGCTTTCAGTATTATTCACCTTCCTCTGTTTACATAATTGTAAAAAACATCACTACTAATGTTAGATTCAATGGTAACAATAATTAAGGTTAAGGTTAACATATGCATTTTTTAACTATTGGTTTTTATATTATCTTAAAAAACCATTGTTTAGTTTCTAAATTTGAAAAAAAAAAAAAAAAAAAAAAAAACCCAGCAAAAGACCAACAATAAACCTAAGAGGTGAAAAAAAGAATTTATGTAACGTTCCAGTGCTTACAAATGTTATGTTAGTACTACCTTTTTGATTCTTTTAACGATAAAAAATCATCACCGAACATATACACCAACGTTACTAGATATTTTGGGAAACAAATTCGAAATTCTGATATTTATTAGAAGGAACGGGTCAATATCTTACTTCACCTTTTTATTTAAACCAAAACGTCTATTTGTTTTTGCTAATTTGAAATATATGGCTGTAATATTTTTCAAAACATTATAACCTAACTAAACTTGCATTAGCATTTGTTGAAAATGCATTAAGATTGATGTTTTGTAGAAAATTCAGAGATTTTAATTACATTGAAAGATGACATTGAAATAAACACCTGCAAAAACTTTTGTTGTGACTTTTATATTGAGATATTGATAATATAAACACTTTTATTTCACTTTACAAATCACACTCTTCATGGACAGGGTTGTTTATAATATGAAAAATTACAACTGCTGAGTTATAACAATAATAAAGATGTTAGAATTAGGTTTATGAAAACAAATATTTGGTGATACTCTGACAGTAAAATCATAATTTTCAATAAGAATCAATTAATGGAAATAAACTTGCCAAAATAAAGCATTAGTGTATGTGAAATTGATTGTATGTAACTATTTCGATTATTAAAAATGAAAACAACATTTATAAATTTCATGCGTCCAAAGCACTTTTCTGGATTTACATTCACCAGGCACGCTTAAAGCTGATTATTTGAAAACCAAGGATGTATAGTTAAGCCAACTCGTGCCGTCATAGACGATGTCTCAGTAATAGATAGTTCATTTTCTTTTGTTTGATTTCAACTGGATATCAGCCTGTTAATCGATTGACAAGATATGAACATCGGTAAATCAGAGCTGTTTCCTTAATTTATGGTGTGTTTTAAAATTATACTACGTGAAATACAAAGATCAGTCAGAAAAAATATATGGGGATCCGAAAAGGTACCCTATCGACCACAAGGACACAAATAAAACAATTAGATAAAACAGTTTTGAACATTTTAAAAGTTCACATATCCTTTTCAAGGAGACGTCAGGTCGCAAGGTCTCGCCAAAGACAAGGTAGCAGGTTAGATTTGACCATATTTAAGCGCCACCTCCATGGATGATTGATTGTACGTCACAAACACAAAAGTCGTACGTGAAAGTGAAACTTAACAACACATTACGTGCAATCAAACACCTTCATTGATGGCAACCCTATAAAGTGCAACAATTATTCCTACATCAATATGTATCTGAACACTTTTGGGGAAATTTATTTTAAAATCTTATATATGAAGACATTAGAATATTATCAATATTTAAACAGAGTGCACACTAATTGTTCAAATAACGTTCAAATATAAGTGAACAACTTTTTTGGGTATTTCCAGTAGATGTTTAAGACTCTGAATTAGGAACAAGACGAAACGTCTTTGAAACACAAAATGTTAAATTAAAAAGCAGCGATTATCATATTTGTTTTCACCAATTTGTACTATAAATTAATTAAACTTGATTTTCTGCCAACAGGAAATGAGACCTAAATAAATTACTTTGCCCACAAACAACATACAATGGGCGTATAGTTGACGATAGGTGATGTTGTTTATAATACACTCCTGTAATAGAAATTAGATTAATATTCTAAAATATCTGACCTTCACCACATTTATTACAATCTTAATCACAGATATTACAAATGTGAAAAGACAACAATGAAAAACTTACTTATCGTAATTACTTTACGACCAACATACACAACTTATATGTTTCATTTGTTATCCCGTGGACCTTTGAAAGCTTCAAATTTGGTATGAGGTTTTTATATTGTCGACGGTCGTACGGTAACCCGTAGTTGGTTACATCATTGTCCTTTGGTGAATAGAGAATGGTTTTTCAATCATACAACATCTCCTTAGGTTTTTTTTATCTTGTAGTCTTATGGTATTTTTTCTATGGTTTGTCGTTATCAATATCTAACTTGTAATAAAATACTTGATAAAATCATTGTTATATTAATATTAATGCTATTTTTAGATACCAACATCCAATTTTTCAGTTACATATTATCATATGCGAGGTATGGTATGCCTGTTGTACAAATCATAATGATCAACAGTCAAGGCAAATCCTGCTAAGATAACATAACCTAGTTGTCATTCTAATCAAGTGTCTAAATATAGACTAACAGAAACTATAGTAATAAAAATGAAAACATAAATCATGATCCCTGAGACCTTGATCCTTTAATTTTAGTGTCATTTCGTATTTAATTGAATGTGCGTATTTCCTACTTACTTCGGAATTATGTCAACAAGTTGTCATGCGAAAACATTTCAATGTGAATTCATCGTTTACCGGTAAGAGGTTGGAATTTTCATAGTACCTTTTTAACGAATATAATTGTTGTTCGTAGACAATATTTGTAATAGTCCAATATATATTTACGCGAAAGAGTTTATGACACATCAATCTTTGTCAATCAGCTTTTTCGTATTTATGCAGTTAGCATCTTCTGACAGAATATTATGCTCTTTGGCTTCGTTAGCAGAGATGGTATCTTATGAGGTTTAAATATTTAATTTTTAATACTATTAGGTGTTTACTGGACGATGGTATCATTATTGAGAATACATGTACATTGTTACTGCAATATATTGTTTTAAGGTTTTGATATATATTTTTCGTAGAATTGTTCTGGTGGCAACTTTTTACTACGAACTTAAGAACAAATAAGAAATAAAGTCATAAGTTGATACTATAAAACAATAATCAAATATAATATAAGACCATTATTGAATACAGGTTTCTCAACACGTTCATTTATCAATATAACATATTACATAAGTTTTATTTAAAAGTTAGCTCCTCATGATCACGTATTCAAATAATTAAACATCCTTTGCTTTCAAACTTTTGACTTTGAGCCTTTCCGATGAATGTAACTCATGAAAATCTTTCTGAAAGTAACAAATTTATAAAGGGTTAGTTTCATTTTAAAGGAAGATGCAAGTTTTTGCTGGAACTTTAGTGATTTTCAGTAATGGCTGACAAATTTGCATGCAAGCGTATAACGTCTATTTCTGGGGCTAGAAAAATCTCAGTTTTTTTTTAAAGATTTGGTTAGCTATGAAAAGCCCCAGCATGGAAAAATGTGAAACTTCAAAGAAAATAAATATATGCAGAACTATGTCAATTGGACCTGCTTTGATACTTTAACTGCCCTTGAATTTTTACTAGACAAAATTTTTCTCCGCTTTGGAGATTCCGTATATCGTCAAGTTATCGGAATTCCAATGGGGACTAACTTTGCACCACTTATTGCGGACCTGTTTTTGTATTGTTATGAGTTACAATTTATGACTAAAATCAGGAAAGACCCATCGAAACAACATCTGATACAAAAATTTAATAACACTTTTAGATATTTGGATGATATATTGGCCCTCAATAATGACGACTTCAGTATGTACACTAAAGAGATTTATCCTGCCGAACTGACTTTAAATAAAGCTAATACTAACAATGAACACTGCCCTTTCCTGGATCTTGATATATTTATCTTTAACGGGAAGCTTAATACCAAAATTTATGATAAAAGAGATGATTTTTCATTTCCTATTGTTAATTATCCATTTTTAGATGATGACGTTCCCTTGTCACCATCTAATGGTGTTTAGATATCTCAACTTGTTCGATTCGCTCGTGTATGTAACAACGTATGTGATTTTAACGAGAGAAATCTCTGTATTACAGAAACATTGTTACACCAGGGTTTTCGATATCACAAACTAGTCAAAACATTTACTAAATTTTATCATCGGTACAAGGACATCATTCGTAAATATAAATCAACATGCAGACATCTTATACGTTCAGGTATTTCACATCCAATCTTTTATGGTAATATTCTTTACAAAGCACAAAAATGTCGGCATTCACCTCAAAAGCTAACCAAACAGACTTATTCAGACGGGATATAGTTACGATACTGTTGTCAGGTCATTAAGGATGGCATATTTTGATATCAATATTGATTCACTCATAGGGTCTTTGCATCGGAAATAAACACATTTATTCCAACACCAGTTGTTGGCATGATACGGGTTATGATCTTCTCATATATTTTATGATGGTATGATACTAAACCCCTATCGGGAGGGATTGTGCTTGATTTTCATATGATGAAGACATAATCTTGCAATCAATTTAATTGAGGTCTGGAGCTGGCATGTCAGTAACTGCTAGTAGTCCTTTGTTAGTTTATGTATCATTGTCATTTTGCTTAGTTTATTTTGTAACCTATTCTGACATCGGACTCGGAATTCTTTTAAACTGACTTTTACTGTGCGTATTGCTGTGTGTTTCTTTTTTCTACATTGGCTAGAGGTATAGGGAGAGGGTTGAGATCTCACGAAACATGTTTAACCTCGCCGCATTTTTGCGCCCGTCCCAAGTCAGGAGCCTCAGGCCTTTGTTAGTCTTGTATGTTTTTTATTTTTGTTGATTTATATGTTTTGGAGTTTATGACGTCCATTTTCACTGAACTAGTACACATTTTTATTTAGGGGCCAGCTGAGGACCGCCTCTGGGTGCGGGATTTTCTCGCTGCGTTGAAGACCCGTTGGTGGCCTTCGGCTGTTATCTGCTCTTTTGTCGGGTTGTTGTCTCTTTGACATATTCCCCATTCCATTCTCATTTTTATGTCAAAAAAAATAATAGAAAAAAATATGGGAGACAACAATCAACAACAACAACTGGATTACAGACTCCTGACTTCGAATAATGAAATAAATACTCAAGAGAGCTTTATAAAGGTGCTTACTCAATAAACGAATGTCAAAACCAACGAACGTTTCATTGAACAGAAATAAAAATGTTCTTTTATCATTTGTCAAAGCTGAAAAAAAGTACGAATGTTAGTAAACTGGAATTCTTACTTTCAAATAGAACCGTTGGCAGGAATTAAATATGGTAAAATCAGTCCATTAATACAATATATCTAGCACTGAATCACCAAGAGTGTTCAAAAATTGTGAATATTTATAGCATGGTTATGCCAATTCAAACCATCTTACTTTTATCAGGAACGCTCAAACTCCCAAAAAAATGAAAACCAAGGATATATAAATACTTGAATACTTGCGGAGCGATTTGACTATTGCATTATTCAAATTTAGAATAAGAAGTACATGTAAAGAAAATAAACAACAGCACAATACTATGAAAAAATTTATTAAAAAATACATACAAGGTTCATAATTGTAAAATTATAAATATTAATGGTATATGTGATACATTCAATTGAACACATTTGCTTTTGCCATTGTGTTGCCTGTTTGTTGATTAACTGTAACTAATTGTCAGACAAACAAAAAGACCCAAACAAATGATTTTAGTATGGCTCCCGACTTTTAAACTATAATTTTAAAAAGACATATGTTTTAACTTCACCGTAAGTGTTTATCCAACAATTTTGAGAGAAAAAATCCACTGAAAAGCATTCGAATCAAAATAAATGTTTTTTTTCAGATTTTTATAAATACAGATTGATTGGCGTTAAAGTATCGTAACTGCATACTAAAATTAGAGAAACATATTTTGCATATTTAGAGTTTCTTAAATGTCATATTGGTATATCGGTATATGGTCATGTTGTTAATTGTTCGAAAAAAAAAGAATTTCTACACAAGGAATAGATAACTTTAGCTGTTTTGGAAATTTTTGGTCCTCAATGAGCTTCATTTTCGTACTCTATTTGACCTTTTAACTTTTTTTTAGCACCACTGATGAGTGTTTTGAATACAAAACATGCGTCTTGCGTACACAATTTTATGATGAGTTGATTCTAGCATTAATTAAAAAAACCACAAAACATTCGATTTTATGACTCTATAATTATTATATAGAATGTACAATGTTTTAGTGTCACATCCAAGTACAGATTCTATAAGAACGATAAATCATATAACAAAGTAGACAAAATGAAATAATTCATGAGAGAAAAATTTACACATCACTTGGAACTTTGTCAGTTGACTAATATTTTCTTTAACTCTTATAACATTAACTGCGTAATACCTCCTTTCTTGATTAATATTTTCTACGACTTATATTTATAAGTTATAATGCAAAGAATGTCTTTAATTTACAAACAAACCGGGATCAGGACACTGCTTGACTTGTTTACGGAAATTATATATACGTTTGGCCTTCGCTGGCAACAGCATAACATAAATGTTTGTGTAAACGCTGGATAAACTATGTATAATAACTTTAATAAATCAGTATATTTTTGTTCGTGAGACTTTAGTATTCTGCTGTTTGTTTTACGTGCTTGATTAAGGTTATTCCAAAAACATGTTTCATGCGCTCTATTGCTAATTTCGTCAAATGGCTTCTTCGATTTAACAAATACGTTCATAGTCCTGTTCTTTTATGAAAGTAGTTTCTTAATTTCAGCCTAATATAGAATATCACTTCAGACCTTTACGTTTTGTAGAAGACATTTAATAGGAAACGGTCAAAAAATACATTTTCTGAGAGAATTTATAGATCATTTTATTTCTTTGAAAGATTTGCTGATACTCTGATGATTTAATCAACCGTTATAGGTCAAAATGGATATGTTCCAGTTTTTTGTAGCAACAGTACCGTCCTACCTTTACGAATTGTTAGTCTATTGCTGACTTCGTCAAATGGCTTCTTCGATTTAACAAATACATTTATATTCCTGTTCTGTTATGAAAGTAGGTTCTAAATTAAGACCAATATAGAATATCACTTCAGGGCCCGGTTGTTCAAAAGTGTCGTTAAGGTAACGACTAGTTAAGCCTAACGACTCGTTAAATTTTAACATTGTTGTTAGCTAATTACTGCGTTAAATTATGTTGTTCAAAAATATTTAACGACTGAGTTAACTAACTACTTGTTAAAAAATTTAACAACTGTTTATTTTAACATTTTCCCATAATTCCAAAAAATTACCCAAAATTCCTCCACTTCCTGTTTGAAAATGGCTGAAGAGCAACCCCCCAAGAAAATTCCCAGAATTAGAGGGCAGAATTTTTCCAGTATGGAAGTTAACCTCATCAGTAGGAGAGTTGTTGAAGAACTGGCTTTACTGAGGGGGAAATTCGGTAAGGATGTGACAGCTGATGCAAAAAACAGAATGTGGGAAAAAATAACTGCAGAAGTGAATGCTCTTGGTGTGAGCTATAGGCAAGTTCTGACTGTGAAAACCAAGTTCAGAAACCTCACAAGAGACGCCAAAGAAAAATTTGTGTATGAAAAGAGGGAGAGAAACAAGACAGGAGGAGGACCTGCTCCAAAACCAATAAGCGTTGCTGAGGAGAACATAATAAATGCATTAAAAGACACCTCCTCTTTCAAAGGAATAGATGAAGGGATGGAAACTTCAGTGGGCAAGTATTTTACTTTTAGATTTACTAATCAATGATATGCTTCCATTAATTTGTTTAATTCCTTTGAAACAATAAATCTGACGGTTATTTTTATTGCTATCATAGAAAATAATGCAGAAAATTATTAAGCCAGAGTGCGTCGTCTGCTTTGACATTAGGATATCCCTTTCAACGAAATTCCCTACAGACGTCGCCGATGTGCTAAAAATAGAATTTTATGTTGTGTTATAATGCAACCTTTCTCTTACCTTAGATATATAAAAATACCTTCTCATGATATTGATGAGAAATAATCATCATATACAAATCTATTTATCGATAAAAAAAGGTATAATTATTGTTTTGCAAGAGCTGAAGTTTGTGTTGGCCATCACCTTTGGCGGTCAATTCTGCAATGCCCCTTACATCATGTTTTACCACCATGAAAAAAAAAATAAGCTGTAGTAAAATTTTCAGAGAAAATCCTTTTACTTTTAAAGATTATTTAAATTTCAATAAAAGTTATTTGTAAATACAACCAAGAACGAACTTGCATTGGATACTTTACTAAAGTCACTGACATGTTTATAGTCCATTTCAAAATAGACATGCATTATTAAAAATTGAGTTATCTTTCTTTGTGCCTGATTTTTTTTGTAATTTTCACTTTATCATTTTTACAGGGTTTCCTCAGCAGACAGAAACAAGTGAGAGTAGACCAACACAGTTCAGTATACAAGGTGTGTATCTAAAGAAGATATTCATGCATACACATGACAATAAATTTTTTAAAGAAATTTACTTTCTTTTAAGCATTAAAATCAATTTTATCAACAAAAAAAAAGCCCATTAAATTGCTTGATTTGTTAGTTATTATTAAATTCAGGATTAGTATAGTAGCCATCCTATACCTATCATTGTTTAAATCTGGAACCTTTTATAAAATATTAGTATTTAAGATATAAACAGTTTTTAATATATAGTTTATTTTAAAAATTGCTGAGAAAATTGTTAATCAAATGAATCAGTTCATGATATAGATTTATAAAAGGTTAACACTGGCTGGTAATTAATTGCAGTAATATTATAATTGTAACCATAAGTAAAGAGCGAGATTATTTGCCCTTGTAACAAATAATTTGGTATAAAATTGAGAGTGTAAGTATAATCAATACAGGGGTGGATCAAGCCATTTTAAAAGGTCCCCATTCAAATGCATAGATCATCAAAAAAGGGGGGGGTTCCACTGCAATGAGGAATAATGTTCATGCATATTCATCCTTTTTGTGTATAGTATTTATATGACAGCTACAAGAAAACAGGTACAAGAATAACATTATTCAAGTATTATTTTATTTGATTTTGATCGAATGAAGAGTTCTTATTATCAATCAAATATCCCAAAATAAAATGATTGTTAAAAAAAATAAAATTATTATGTATCTTCATTTCATTTCAGAAAGCTCATCATCTGATCAAATATATACTGCTGAACCTGTCAGCTCACCCATTCCAGCACAGATTGCTGTCTCAGGATGCCAGACAGCTGATGGTAATTATTACTTAGATTTTTGCATTATGCTATTATTTTTACAATTCTGCATTTCATAAAAATGAAGATGCAATGTTTCAGAATCAATATTTGAATTAAAGAACTGAAGTTGATATTTATTGCTGTGAAAAGAATTTATATGTAAAAAAAAAATGACTCATGGAGGGTCTTATACAGGGTCTCTGTAATAGCACACTTTAAGTAAATTTTGTATCTATTTACTTACTTTCATTCAATTGGTCTTTATATATTTTCTAAAGTTGTAATTGACAGTACAGAATATAATGACTTATGGAAAGAAGTAACAGCTATCATGGCTATATTATTTTTTTCTTTTTTACCATACCTTTCACTAACCTATGTTGTTCAATTGATGGGGATTTTATGTCTTGAATATATGTATCTTGACTGACACATTTAAATATTCATTTTTAATCTTAGTTTCTTGTGTATAATTTGGAGTTTAGTATGACGTCCATTATCACTGAACTAGTATACATATTTGTTTAGGGGCCAGCTGAAGGACGCCTCGGAGTGCGGGAGTTTCTCGCTGCATTGAAGACCCATTGGTGGCCTTCGGCTGTTGTCTGCTCTATGGTCGGGTTGTTGTCTCTTTGACACATTCCCCATTTCCATTCTCAATTTTAAATATACATCAACTTCATTTCCGATTTGGTGGATAGTTGTCTCAAGGTCTTCTAATCAATCATACTATTCCTCCTTATTTTTATTTACTCAACACATATGCAATGTATACCCAATCAACTGAGGCAATTTTAATGTTTCTTTAATCAAAACTTTTAGAACCACCATCTTCTGTGGAGAGTATCTGGATTAGAAGACTGGAGCAGGTTCATCAGAGAAATGAAGAAACACCTTATACTGAACATGCCAACCTATCAGCCCAAATACCTCTTTCATTTACTAATAGCAGCACTCAGCAACCACCAAAAGCCAGGTATATGTTTTAAATGAAAGAATACAACAGCCTTTATAATTTCTATAAACTAAGTAAGTTGGGTATGTACTGAATGCTCTTTTAGAGTTGTATATATCTGGCGCTGCAACTTTTTTTAAATGGAGCATCACTGATGAGTCTTTTGTGTATGAAACACCTGAATACATGCTGGAATATACTTGCTCTTTGTTAAAGGGATTATGATGATATAACTTGGCTTAATTGGGCTTCCTTTGGACTCTGATGCATATATATATTGTCTAATTGGCAATCATACCACATCTTCTTATGTAATGATTTGAATACTGATAAATATTCTTAAAGTGCCAATAAGTTTATACAGCAGCCCTGTATAAAATCAAGTGTTATCTCCCTTTAAATTGTTTCATTAAACTTGTTCTTTTATGATCAAATATGTCCTGTAAATGGGGATCTAAATTCTAAATCAAATTATCGCATTTAACTATCAGTTAAATGTAAGATTCAGAGAAATATCCCAAATACTCATTTGTAGAATTAATTAAATGAAAGTCTACATCACCTTTTGTTTAAATATTAATCCGGAACACTAACTTCAATATGATCAATTTTTGTTAAAGACTATTAGTTAAAGGTAGAAACATTAATGTACAAGTTGTAGAAATCTTGGCCTTTGAAAAAACAATTTTACATAAATAGTTATACCGGTTTATAATAACTATATTTATTTACAAGATTTACCAAGTATTAATTTTTTTTTATATATTTCAGTGAGAATAAACGGACAAAGAAACCCAAGAGAACTGCAGAAGATGTGTACGAGTTGCAGTGTCAGGCATTAGAGAGCGAGCTAAAAAGAAATCGGACCCAAATGGAACTTTTCAAGAAGCAAATGGAGTTTTATGATTTGATAAAGAAAAATTTTGAAAATAGTTGTACAGAGTCAATGTTAGAGGCTTTATTTCAGTAACTTTAATCAACATTTATCTATAGTTCCATATTAATGTTATATTTTTGATATGTTTTAAATTATTGTTATTGATAAAATACATATTCTGAAAAAAGCTTTTTTCAATGTTTTATTCATGATTTCAGCGATTAAAAAATGTGGAGGAAATGTGGTCTCTGACACCTCTTCCGTCCTGATCACCAAAGAAACGTTCCCCAAGATCTCCATCATTGTCTATCACTACTCCATCATCTTCAATGTCTGGTTCATTTAATAAGATGCAAATATTGTGAAGAATAGCACAAGCAATGATGATTTTGCATGCTTTGCTTGGTGTCATTCTTATCTGAAAACAAAGAGTGAAAGTAATGTAGAATTATTGCCTTTTTTTCACAATAGCATGTTAATTTGGTCTTAAAAGTTAGAACTTAAACAAGAGTGCACACGCTGAAATGACTCACCTTCTTTACTTATCCTTGCTATTAGGCCACACCTAAAAATATTTTGGTTTGCCCAAATCCTACCCAAAGATAGAGACAGTGGGTGGGTAGGTAGGTAGGCATTTTCTTTTTTTTTCGGCAAAGAGAAATTGAAGTGTCAGATTTTGTTTAGTCTTCATGCCTATCTGATTAAAAAAAAACTTTTTCACATCAAGACAATAAAAGATTTTGAGTAGGCAGATATTTTCTGGGTAGGTAGGGTTAGGGCAAACAAACATATTCTTTTTTATGGCCTTATGTTGATAGTCCTAAATATAAAGCTTTACTACAACTATCACATAAACTTAACATGATACAAGAAAATGAGGTCAAGGTCATATAAACCAAACAAGAAATACATGTACACCTAACAATTATTCAATACACTAAATATAGTTGACCTATTACTTATAGTTTATAAGAAACAGACTTAACCAATAAAACTAAACATTGACCAATGAACCATGGAAATGAGGTCAATGTCAGATGAACCATGCCAAGCAGACAAGTACAGGTAATGATTCTTCCATACAACAAATATAGTTGACATATTGCTTATAGTTTAAGAAAAACAGACCACAACACAAAAACTTAACTTTGACCACTGAACCATGAAAATGAGATCAAGGTCAGATGACACCTGCAGGCTAGACATCTACACCTAACAATCATTCCATACACCAAAATCAAACAAAATTTAATTTTTTGATCCTTTGCATGGATCTCGACATTCCCAATTTTGCTCCAAATCCAAAATCTGAAACCAGAGTTAAGATTCTGCACACCTAATATATTCAATAATTTTTGTAAAAATCAAACACAACATTTAATTTGGACCCTGATTTGTACCAACTTGAAAACTGGGTACAAAACCAAAAATATAAATTTATGTATAGATTCAGGATATCAAAGAACCCAAACAATCCAATTTTTGTTAAAATCAAAACTTAGTTTAATTTTGGACCCTATGGACCTCAAAGTGAACCAATTTGAAAACAGGTCCAAAATTAAAAATCTAAATACATGTTTAGATTCAGCATATCAAAGAACCCAATCAATCCAATTTTTGTAAAATGAAACAAAAAAAAAGTTTAATTTTGGACCCTTTGGATTTTGTATTATATGGACTAATTTGAAAACAGGGCCCAATATAAAAATATTAATACACAGATACATTCAGCATATAGATCGAACCACAAAAAAATCAGTTTCTGATGAAATTGAACAAAGTTTAATTTTGGACCTCAATGTGGACCAATTTCAAAATATCCGAATCAATAACGCGATAAGAACCCCAACAAAAGATGAAAGTTCTTTTTTTTAATCAACTGCATTTTTTAGGGAGCTACCATTTGATTTGTATGGGGGGGGGGGGGGAGGGGGCTAGGATGAAAAATTTTGTCCTGCCTATTTATTTTTCCCTCTATTCAGTCCTGCCTTTTCATTTTCACTCTATTCGGTCCTGCTTTTTTTTATTAGTTTATCCTGACTTTTTTTACCTAAATTGTCATCCTGCCTTTTTTTTTTGCAAAGTGTCTCATCCTGCCTTTTTTTTTACTCAAAACTCCTGTCCTGTCCTGTCCCCCCCCTCAAAAATCAAATGGTAGCTCCCTTATGTTCTATGACACTGATCATTTGCATAAAGAATTGATTTTTTTTATCCTTTACCTCTGAGTGTAATATATGGAACCGTCTCTTCAGCCTCCCAAATGTTCTCTCAATCACACTTCTTGTTGAACAGTGGCATCTGTTGTACTTTTTCTGATGATCTTGTACAGGATTCTGGTATGGGGTCATCAAAAATGGACGACAAGGATAACCACTATCCCCAAGCAGTACACCATTTGCCCATCCACCATTTTGTTCCATGTAGGTACACACCTATACATAAAGGTTTATATTTCATTTACATCATATATTTGGTTAAAACTACCATTTGTATAATTCAAATGTATATATTAAGCTTTACGGAGGAGTTACACTGTTTACCTTAAATAATATTGAGCAAGACTATTTTTTTTCAGTTATTGTATCTCAATATTTTTTTAACATAGCCCCCACTTAAAACTAAAAGGTTGCTTCTTTATATATGGAATAATAGATTTTTTAACATATAAATCCTTTACTAAAGATATGGAAATACAATTGCAATCTAATATGTATAATGTATTAGCCTTTCTTTCATTAATCCAAATTTTATTATGCTAAAATGATTAATTATATGTAAATGTGAAATGATAAATTCATTATTTTGAAATGAAATTCAAATGTCCTCAGATTGGTATTTTTACACCTTTATCAGTGTAATGACAAAAAAGGGAAAAAAAATATTTATGATGACAGGCAATAAAAATAGGGGGTTTATGTCCAAGAAGAAGATTTTGACTTCCCGCAGTGGTAACCAATCCAAGATAAGAGATTTTGAATATGTATTGAGAAAATAAGAAGTCTTCCTACTGTTAACATATAGTGCTTGAAAGGGAATATGACTAATAAAAGATGACCAACATGGCTATAAAATACATACTTGTGAAGTCCTGAATATGTGGGAATCATGACTGCTACCTGGCCAGTTTGCATTTATGTTTGTGAATTTACCTGCAAAATATAGAATATTATATATAATGCAAAGAAGAAATGTTGTAATAGCATAAACAGAATTATATGTAACAAATTATCTTTTATTAATTATTATATTTTTCTAATTAAGACATGTAAGAGGTGTAGCAAGAGTTTCAAAGAGAGGATTATTTGGGATCATGCAACAGTGGACCAAAAAATAAAATTTATTTGAATCCATTTATCTAAAAGTATTGTAATGGTAATCTTGAAAGGGGGTGTCCAAACATTTCCAACTACAAGTGTATAATTGCTTTAAATTTCAGAAAACACAATGAATAACCATGATAACTCAGATGTACAATGCATGTAAAGACTCACAAATTATGACTCAATTATATTGTTTCAAACTAGGAAAACATGATATTAATAATCAAATCAATTGTGCTAATGCATCTTAATTTTTTTATAGTTGATCCACATCAGAGCAATATTAAAATTATAAATTGTACTGTAGGTTAACCTAGGTTAATCTTTCTTTCTTTTGGATTAAAAGGGAAAATTTAAGAAATGTATCTGAAACAGCAGTGGCGGATCTGTGGTGGGGTTCCAGGAAACCCCCTTTTTAGGACTATCAGTGCATTTGAATGGGGACATATGGTTGGAACTCCCCTTTGTCCTAGGTTGGGACCCCCCCCCCCCCCCTTTTGAAAATGGCTGGGCCCCTGAACAGAATCTTTTTCTCATTGACGAAAAAATGACAAATAACTTCTTTTAATATTTGACTAACCAATATTTTAATTTACCTGTAATAGGTAAACCATATAAAATCCTACTTTTATGTCCTAGATGAAGGTTTACACTAGAGTGAAAGTGAAAGTAATTACTATGTGAGAAACAGACTATAGGGGTCCCAGTCATACAAAAAAGTTGAAACCAGTTTATTATGTTATGAAGGTCAATGTCATATTAGATAAGAAAGAAATGTTTTACCTCTGGCATCACAAACAGCCTGCACATTGACAGAATGTACCCCTTTCCTATTCACGAATGATGGTTCATCTTCTGATGGAGCCTGGATACGGATGTGTGTCCCATCTATTGCCCCTAGCACATTTGGGAAACCACTTAGACGGTAAAAGTCTCCTCTTGTTTCATCAACATTTCTCGGCCACTTGATAAACTCGTCCCGTTTGTCACATAATGAATTCAAAACATCAGACACAATACGTGAGACAGTTCCCTTGTGCAAACCTGTAAACAGACCAAAAACAACAACATACAATTTTGGAGATCGATAAAGTACAAAAATAAAATGTGTATTTACCGTTTGATTATATATTATTTTAATAGAAAATCAACAAATTGAAAGTATCACTCAAAAATCAACCAAAGATAAATATAGCAGTCGATTAACACCACATTGGCAATGTTTACTTAATTTTAAATGACATATGATAAATATATAATGAAATCTTACCTATTGTGTCTCCAACTACTTGCAAGAAACTGCCTGTGGCTAAAAATCTCATGGTTACCATGACTTGCTGTGGCACAGTGAGGGCATGGTTTCTCTTTGTTTTTCTTGATACATCATTGCTAACTAGGTTGGAAATGAACATAATTCCTTCTCTACCAAATCTGTACCTTTCTCTTAATTCATCATTGGACAAATTCAAAGAAAGGTCATCTTTGAGGCGAAAATGCCTTTCTTTTCTCTGAGGTGGAACAGGTACTTGCATGAAGGCGGCCATATTTAACAATAACTTAGATATTTAATCGACCTCCCAGAAGTTGTTAAAGTTAACGACTCTTTAACATTACATTTGTCGTTAAATTTTTTGAACAACAGTTAACAAATTTGTTAAATTTAACGACTCTCTAACGACACTTTAACGACTGCGTTAGCTTAACGACACTTTTGAACAACCGGGCCCAGACCTTTACATTTTGTAGTAGACATTTTATAGTAAACGGTAAAAA